GGCTCCACCATCTCCACTTCTGAGACAGCACAGCCCAAAAAAATCTGTTAGCCTGCTTCACTCCCCCCTAAATTATTCCATCTGTAAAGCACAAATAACAAAATATATTTTTTACTTCTAAGAGCTTCACTTATCTGCAGAAAAATAGAACTGCTTAAGAGTGAGCAAGTTAGATTATGGGAGGGTCCATGCACACACCAGCACGTTCTGGACCCCCCAAAAAATTTGTGAGGAAGAAGCATTCACAATTTGATCCAACTAAAAATGAGCCAGCTAGTGTTCCAGGAAAGGAGATTCATCCTATCCAAAATGCTGAATGCCTTCTCATCCTCCCTAGAGCAGGATGAGGAGCACAGAGCTGTAGCTGTGAAACTTTTCTCTTAAGTACTGGGACACATTAAGAATGAACCTTCCAAACACTGCAAAATTTCAGAAAAAAAACCCCTCACGTTTTTTGGTTTGGTTTTCTTTTTCCAAAACATAGTGAAAAAGCATACAGAGCTTCAATATCCACAGCACAAACCAAAAATCAAACAGAGCTCCTCTGATCTAGAGTGCTGTTGTTAAGGTATTTAGAGACTTTAGTGCATTCTTTTTAGAACTAAGCTTGGAAACTATATTTAATTTTTCATTTTATTAGAAAACTAAACTGTGTGAGGCAAAGAAACATTTAATCAAACACACAACAGTGAAAACATGGCACTGACAAGGCAATTAACCCAACCATTGTAACAAACTCCGCTTCAGGATTCTCTATTGCTCGCAGTCAAGTATACATCATCTCCGCCATGTGAGACATTTTCTTGGGAATATATAAGTAGTATTCCATGTATCCCGAAAGATCTTCAATAGTCACGTCATCCACAAAGGCTCGAGCTTGCTCGGAACAAGACCTGGGAGAGCTGGCTGAGGCTGTCCCACAGGGGGATCTGCTTTGGAGAGAGTGGGCATGGACTCCCAGGACCGCCTTCTCGCACTCGGACAGGACGCTCCGCAGGCCGGAGAAGGAATACACCTCCATGGTTCTCCACCGCTGGCACTGGCACTGCTTGTCCGTGCAAGGGCACTGCCTGCCGTCGCTAAGCATGGATAAGGACTGGAAATCCGAGGTTTGGCTAGAATGCAAGCTGGTTTCAAAGGAGGAGGGCGGAGCAGGGCAACGCTCTCTCAACTTCTCCAAAGGCTCTTCAGCGGTGAACGCTCCTGGCGGTTCCGTTCCGTCCTCGCCGGCCTCCGGGGGAGGATCCTGCCCGTCCTTCGTACCGTGTTCTGCCGGGACAAAAACGTCTGAGCTGATGATGCCCTTCGATGTGTCTGCCTGGGATTTGTGTTTCAGCTGGCTGTTGGCTTTCATGTTGCAGTATGTAAACTTGGGAGGGTGCAGGACCGGAGACTTGGAGCGCCGGCGGCGCGGGACTCTGGCCGATCCCCGGGAAGGCTTTCTCACACACCTGCAGGGTTACAGCAGGGGGGAGCAAGTAGGTAACTCCAGAATCGACACCTGAGCTCAGCAAGCTCTAAAATGTGGCTAAAAATGCTTCATAGGAATTTTTTTTTTCTGCTTAGAAAAACCAGGTGACTGGTCACTTACTATCTCTGATGGGGACAGAGAAGGACTCTGAGGAAGTTTGGGCTCTCCCAAAGGGAAGACATGTACAGAACAGCCCTTATTTAAGGTACTTCCCCCAAATCTCCTGTGTTAAGAAAATGATACTTTGTCATCCCAAGCTGAATTGTAGTGCAGAACCTGTATCGGTTGGAGCTGCTGGCAGAATCACACTGAATACCCAGACACTTCAATACAGATATAAAATAACCCAAGAATGAGGTGAGAGGAGGTTGCAAAGGTTTAAGGCCTGAAAAAAAGGACTACTGAGGAAATCAGTGGAAAAGGAAGTTTCAGGAACCCTCTCTAAGAGAAGAGGCAATTTGGTTCAAAACAAGGTTTTGAAGCCTTTGCTGAAATCCCCTCACAAACATCGTATCGATTATGGAAAAGAAATTGCAATAGAAAGGAGAGAAGAGACATGTTGAAGCAACTAATTGACAACAACTGGCACTGAAAGCAGCCTGCAACTGTTAAATGTCTCATGTTTTACCCATGCCACGCTTCCTTGGAACAGACAGTCTGTTGCTTGGCTCCATCCACGGCTGCTCTTGTTGTTGTTCTGAGGATCGTCCCGTCGCCCACGGCCAGAGCTGCAATACATCTGGGGACGAAGGGAAATGCCACATCACAGAAATGCCTGAGCACACAGCTCCAGAGGTCCAGACTCAGCCTGTTCCCTTTGGATGCTCAGATAATACGGTCAAATTCCCAGCCTTGACTTCCTCTGTAGTCAGTGGGTAAAAACAAGGCATTACAGAGTTTAATCCCATCCCTCTCTCCTACTCTGGCCTCAGCAGAGTGGCTAAAGATAGGTGAGATGAAATGAAAGGCGGCCAAAATGCCCACAGCCTGATGTCATGCCCTGTTTGTAGCAAAATGACACATTAAAGGAATGTAAACTCAGGTTCCAGGCGTTCTGGTCAGACAACAGTCGTTAAAATAACCTCCCACTCGTGCGAAATGCAAAGTCAGGAACCAGGAGCAGCAGGGTGAGGGGGAGTCAGTGGGGAAGGGGAGGAGGTACAACAGACAAGGACAGATTACTGGTTCACTTATCACTAAATTTCCCAGACAAACATGGACTGACCCTGGAGGTCCAGATGACAAACATAAACACCTCAGCACACGAATCTGTACTTATGATGGCTGTAGGTATGAACTGGAACACGGGATAGGAAATTGTAGGAAACGAAGCTGAAATTCTAGCAAAGAGCCCCAGCACTCTGCCCAAAGCTGATCTTAAGGGATGATCCACAAGACCTGAGCAGTTCAAAACACACGCCTGCAAAACAAGACCTTTTCTATGCCTAAGAAGGCATCATCAGTAATCACCCAGAATCCCACACAGTCTGCCACTGGTGCTGCATCAGAAGTGGGATGTTTAATAAGCACAGCTCCTTGTTAGAGAACAGCCATTTTTTTCCACACTTCTCAAAAGACCTCCTGAAGCAGAGTAGCAAAGCAAAGTGTATTTCCACACGCAGAGGAAGTCCTGAGTTTGCAGTACTGATGGCTGTGGAGAGGAATTCACAGGGTAACAATGTCAACACAAAGCTCTCTCTTGTGTCTGTGAATTCCTAAAAGACTTCCAAGTGAACTGCCTCGCAGAGTGTTAGACTGCATTTATTAGCTCCTACTTTTAGAGAAATCCTGCATATAATCAGCACACCCAGTGCGTTATGGAGCAAGTTTTTAATACAAGAATGGCTGCATTTTACTCCACAAAATCCCCTGAAACCAGAAACCAGCTGTGTATCACAGCAGGTGACCACAGCTACCCTGACAGTTAAGAGTGGGTTCACTGCTTTGGGCGAGTCACTCATATTTCCATAAAATCACTGTGCAATTTCAGCTGGATATTGTGTCAAAATTAGTCTGTAATAAAGTACTTCTTTGACAGTTACAATTACTATACTTCATCTGAAGTGATGCAAGTTGTCTTCTCCTGAAGAGCAAAGAAACTCTTTTTTTTTTCACATTTTCTTTTTGAAATGCAAAATAACAGCAAACAAACACAAACAAGTAACAAAAATCCGACAGATGACATGGCCCTTTTGATTGCTCACTCACCCTGCTGCATCCACTCTCAGCTTTTTGAATGCTGTTTGTAGACTCTCCTCCTCCTCATCTTTAGCTTCCAAGTCCATGGATGTGCTCTCAGTGGGTAACCAGCCGTGTCATGTAGAATAAACTGGAACACAGAGGTTGGGATTTGATGCTGAGGTCTGAACCCACGAGGTCTGTACAGAACTGACTGACCCTGCCAGGGGGGCAACACCCCTCCTTTGTGGTCAGGCCAGCCCAGGGCTGCTCACTGTGAGCCCCGCGTTTCTCAGAGCAGGCCCAGCCTGTGCCAGAAACAACAGGGAGACTTTTCACCCACGGGTGGAGAGATGTTATGGATCCTGCCAACCCGCAGCCGGGAGCAGGACACAGAGCTCCAGGAAGGACAGAACCCTAGGCTGGCTGAGCCTGGAGGGGATCCCTGGGGGTCCTCCCTTACTGCTCCAGCAGGGCCGTCCCGAGCTGGCTGCCCGGGCAGCTCCCGAGTGTCCCCAGGGAGGGGAGGCTGCGGAGCTGCCCCGGGCTCAGCCCCCTCCGCGCTCCCCCCGGCTCGGGCAGCACCCCCCGTGTGTTGGGGCCTCTGCTCCCGTCCGGGCACCGCTGAGCGCAGCGCGGCCCTGGCCCGTCCGCCCCACACCTCGCGGAGCCCCCTCCGGGCCCTCCTCCCACCGGGGCGGCCGCGCTGCCCCCCGTGAGCCCCCCGTGACCCCCCCCCGCCCCTCAGCGCGGGCCCCGCCGCCCCCGCCCCGCGGCCTCTGCGCGGGAACACCCGCGGCGGCCCTCCGCGGCCCCAGCGCCGGGGGCGGTGTGGGGGCTGTCCCGGGGTATCCGGGGTATCCCGGAGTATCCAGGGTATCCCGGGGTCCCAGGGGTCCCGGTCCCGTCACTCACCCTCCGCCTTCCCGGGGGCGCGCAGCACAACAGGACGTGACGTCACGGCCGCCTCGGGGGCGCGCCCGGGCCCCGCCCGCCCCCGCCCCTCGCCGCGCGCGTGCGCGAGCGCGAGCGCCGCCTGTTCGTGAGGGGGCGGCGGGCCCGGCCCGGAGCGCGGTGAGTGCGGGGCGCCCGCAGCCCCACCCCGGCATCGGCCCTGTCCCCTGTCCTTGTCCTTCACCCTGTCCTTGTCCTTCACCCTGCCCGCTCCCCCGGGGCCGCTGCGCGCTGCCCTGTCCCCCCGGCGAGCCCCCCCGCGCTGGCTCTGAGGGTGCCGGGGGAGCCCCGCGGGGTCCGCGCTGAGTCACGGCCTGCTCGGGGGGTCTGGGGTGGGGAGGCGAGCAAGGGTTGGGGTGGGGTGGGTGGTGTTAAAAACACGGGATTTAAAAAAAACAAAACAACAAACAAATAGGAAATTCGAAAGCGCAAAAATCTGAAAATGGGAGATTTAAAACAAACCAATTAAAATTAAACGAACGAAACGGAAGATTTAGAAATGAGATTCAAAGATGACCAAAAAAAACCAAAAACCAAAAACAAAACCAAAAAAAATAAATTTAATGCGGGTCTTAACGCAAAAATTTTTTAAAAGGTAAAATTTTAAAAGCGTACAATTTATAAGAGCGTAAAACTGGAAAGCTTTAAGATGTTAAAAGGCGAAATTTTTAAAAGTGTAAAATTTTAGTGCTTTGAAGTTTTAAAAGGCGAAATTTTTAAAAGTGTGAAATTGGAAAGCTTTAAAATTTTAAAAGGCGAAGTTTTGGAGATATGAAATTTGGGAACCATAAAATGTTGAGAGATAAAATTTTTGAAGATGTGAAATTCGAAAACTGTAAAATTTTATAAGATAAAATTTTGAAATATTAAGGTTTAAAACTGCTTGTCCTGGGGGCCTGTGTCCCTGCTCCAGATGCAGGAGCTCGTGATGATCCAAAGGATGTGCTTGCGCCGTGTCAGTGGTGGATTGCCCTGCCAGTGCACCGATCTGGGTTAATTGTCCAGTGTTGCTGGGAAATATCCAAAAATTAAATGGAAAAGGGTGGATGTGTATCCTCCTAGAAGACAGAAAACATCAGTCTCAGCGTGGTTTTTGGCACGACATTGAACTTGGGCTGTTCTTCGCAGTAATTGATTTTTTTAGAATCGGTGCTAGTTGGCTGGTGTGTCTGAAATGCTTCACCTGGAGGTGAGCGGGGTTTTATCCAGCTGAGCTCTGCTTTGTTCTGAGGGTTTGCTGTGTTGGTGATGAAGGGCAGCATGATAAAATATTTCATCAAAAACTGGTACTGTATTTTCAGTCGTGTACAGTGATTTTAAAACTTCTCATCCTCCCCTTAAGGTTATTCAATACAGGAGTTTGGTATTAAAAAGAGTAAAAAATATGTAGCCTGATTTTTTTTTTTTTTTAAAGCATCATCTCAAGGTGATTAAGGGGGCCAAGGAAAAACCTGAAGTAGGGACCATCTGTTTCACCAGAGCAGTAGTATTTGGCTAAGAGAATATTTGAAATAGTAACTTGCTCAGATTCCTGTTGTCAATGTCTGTGTAAGTTCCTCTGGTGTTTACTCACTCTCTGACTCACTGGACAACATGTGCCTTGAAATTGTTGTGATACATCGTCCTTCTGCGTGTGTCATCAGAGCTGTCTGCAGTCCAGGGCGTCCAGGTGAAATCACAGCTCAGGGAGCAGCCAGAACAACAGCGGGCAGAGCTGCCACCTCCACGGGGACTGGGGGGGTGAGGGAACAGAGATTGCCCCTCTCTGCATAAGTCACTGAGCTGCAGAGGCTCAGACAACCAGTCCCTTCATCATCTCAGTGGCCCTTTGCTGGATCCTCTCCAGTGTGTCAGTCAGCGTGTGTCTCCTGTACTGTGGAACTTTATCTTGTTCTAAGAAAAGTCTGTTGGTTTGAGTTTTTTTTAAAATATGTGTGTAACATCGAGTCCCAAACGTGGGAATAACAGTTGTGACAGGTTGACTCTTTGTAATGGTGGTGCTCCTTCTCACTTTCACCTCTTCTGCAATTATTGTGGTAACACTGTAAGACAAGTGGGAGACTTACTGGACTGTAATGGATGTGCAAGATGCTTTTTGACACCAAAATTTTACTTGGAATTGCTAATTCAGCTACAAGAGACTGTTTGTTTCGTTCTTGGGTATGATAAAGCTGCTTCTGAATCAGCTTTGAAAAATGTTCTAGTAGAATGACCTCAGCTTAGTGTGCTCAGGGTGCTATTTTGAGTTTATTTTCATGTGTTACGGTGCTGCCGGGCAACTCATGTTTTCAACAAGGATTTGGCCTTTATTTTCTTATGCCTTTTTTCTGCTTGTAGCAGTACATGGTAATTCCATCACCTCCTGGCCATCCCAATGATGAAATCAGAAGCTAAGGATGGAGAAGAGGAAAGCCTGCAGACAGCATTCAAAAAGCTGAGGGTTGACACAGCTGGGTAAGTAACACCACAGGGAGGCAGAGAGTTAACATTACAAATGGACTTGAGGGGAACACCCTGGCTGTGAAATTTGAGGGAATGAGGTAATTGCAAAAGGTTAGGCATGGAAAGCCTTCATTATAGTTAAACAGACTGAAATGAATTCCCTACCTGTGGACTGCACTTCTCAAGGAATTGTAATTTGCTTGATTGCTGTCAGCTTGCAGCAGGGCTTGAAACAAACCTCACAACCATCAGCAGCTGACAGCATGCTTGAAATGAATTTTGGCATTAATCTGCCTACCAGAGTCCATAGTGCCAGAACTCTGCTGTTGAAGTTAGCCTGTTGTCGTGGCTCAGAAGGCCTGTCATGAGAATCAACTCCCATCTTTTCCCAGGAGAGAAACTTTCTTTCCATGTCAGTAAAAGAGTGCATGAGGTTCAGTGCATGATTCCCACACAAACTATTTTCACTGCTGTCACAGATTTTCTATTTATAACCAAAATCACTACATGGGAAAGAATGCTTCCTGTATTGTCTTGTTTTGTGGGAGATCTGACATGTGGCACTTACCCTGACTGAGCCAGGTGAGAGAACACAAACACCATGTGTTTTCTGGTGGTGTTGATCATTTTTGTGATCAGGAAGCTGTTGTCAGTGTAGGTAAGGCAGCACATAAAGATCCAGGTGTTTACTAGAATCACCACAGAGCTGAGATTGTGAGTAGATGGCCTTCTAAAGTTATCTTTCTCATTAGGAGTGAATTGCCTCTCCTTTCTCCATTATCTCTAGTCCCACCCCCTAGCTGGGCATACTTAGTTATTACTTCATAATTTTTACTGGTGGCCTTCAATAGTCTTCTCTGTGTTCACTATCTTTTAAATGGAAATTAGTTTGGACTCTCTTAACCCCATCCCAGATTAGTGTGTGGGAGACTGGTTTTCATTTCTCAGGTAGTCCACCCTGCTTACGAACTAATTTAATACAGGATTCGGAAAATAATTTTCTTGTGAATTCCAGTGTAGTGTGTGAAGTCACAGCTTGGAAAAATTGTTCTTATTACAAGTCATTTAAAATGGGAGTCTGGGATGAACCTACAGCACCAGAAAATTTAGTGAATCTTTTAAGGTCCCTGACTTGAGTAGAAGTTGAGGGTCCAACACATCTGTGTTGCTCAAGTGATTCAACTTGCAGTAGCATGAAGAGTTTTAGCTTATGTTGCCCTAGACAGAGGCTCAAGTGTTCTTCATCTAAACAAAGTCTATTTATGTCCAAAGAACGTTTATTTTTAGGAAAGAAAGGCTTATTTGTCTCTGGAAAAAGAGACATGTTTCTTCAGTGATGGTGTTTTTCCCCTCCCCTCTCCCTGAAATTTAGTCATTGTGTGTGTTCGTCATTGACACGTGGGGTTTGGGTCTGCTGCTGAATGGCATCCCTTGGTAAAAGAGTCTGTTGTACAAACCTTTGAGATAGGGATTTGTAAACACTTTTCCTTCTGATTGGGGCCTTTGTGGGCAAGATTTTAAGACATATTCTAAATGTTTTGGAGCAATATTTGCTGGGAAAGAAGATTCATAAGGTTGGGGTTTTTTTCATAAGCATATTGCTAACCAGTCTAGGCTGTTAACTGTTCATCCTGTCTTTCACAGATCTACTACTTCTCTCTCTGTGGGTGAAGGGATGAGTCCCAGAGCACTAGTTAGAACAGTGGCAGATGAAACCAAACCTAAGACTGTGTGTGCTTCTAAGGAAACCTGGCATGGGTAAGAGGAGCTTGGGATTATCAGACTACTTCAAATGATACTGCACTGGAAGGGAATTTTAAATAGACAAGGTTTCTAGTAAGTACACCCCTAAACAAGGAACCTGAATGTGCTTTATTGAAGAACTGTTTCAAAACTGCACCCCACCTTTTTCTGTTCATATAGGACTGCTATTCTTATTTGCAGTTATGTGAAGTGAAATGAAATGCTGGTCAGCTGTAGGTTGCTAAATGTTAGAGATGTTTCTCAGAACAAGTGGGAGTTGCTGGTTTTGAATCAGACAATGATGAATGCACCTCTTTCAATCATCTTTTGACATTGCAGAAGCTCTCATTGTGCCTTGGGAACTAGATTAAAATAAAGAATTGATTTCTGGGGTGTCTATGCAGAACTTCATGCTCATCTGAAACAAAAGCTCCCTTTGCCCTTGATTCATTAGTTTTGTGCTGCCTTCTTGTGCTTTGTCCTTCTTAGGGGTTATTTTGTCATGTCTCACATGCTTTACTCATTTTCTAACCTTAAAAACCCTCTCTTTTGGGTTCATTGCTCTAGTGTTCCTTTTGTATTTTATAAGCTGCTTGGCTAGTACGAAGTCAGATTCCAAGATAGCAGAACACTCTGCGCTTAAGGCTCTTGCATGCAGTGTAAATGCAGTAGGGATTTTGCCCAGTGCTATTTGTGACCCAGCAGTAAGTCTTGTGGTGAACCTTCACTCCCCCTTTGTGTCTTTCCCTGGCAGGTCTATGAAGAAGCCTCCGAGAGGAGTCGTGAGAACTCAGCGTCGCAGGCGTTCCGAGTCTCCCATCCTTCATCCTCCCAAGTTCATCCACTGCGGCACAAAGTCGCATTCCCCGTGCAGCCAGCTGGTGCAGAAGAGCCAGGTGGACACCCAGAACGACAGCAGTGGGTTTGGGATGCCAGTCCCCAAGGAAGCCGGTGCACAGGAACGATGCAGCGCAGCTCCTGACCTTGGCCAGAAGGGAGCTGAGGTTGAGTCCGGGAGGGTTTCTGTTATGCAGTTGACGTCGGAGAACAGGCAGGAGAACTCTCCAGCTGCAGCTGCTCCGGTGTCCAAAGCCAGCCTAAAGACTACAGAGCTTTCTGACTTCCAGTCCATGTGCAAGCTGAACACGAGTAAGCCGTGTGCGTGTGCGGGCAGAGCCTGTCAGTGCAAACTGTGGCAAGACATGGAAGTGTACAAATTCTCTGGCTTGCAGAACACCCTCCCAATGGCACCCGACAGAACAGTTCCTGAGGATCACTCCCAGCCTTTGCCATCAAGAACTCCCTCAAGTTCTCCACGCTCTTGCTCTGAGCAAGCCAGGGCCTTTGTGGATGATGTGACAATTGAAGACCTTTCGGGGTACATGGAGTATTACTTGTATATCCCAAAGAAAATGTCTCACATGGCGGAAATGATGTACACCTGACAGCAGTGAGCACCAACGAGCACCAGAAGGGCGGCTGGTTTAAATCTGCTGTCACACTCATGTGAGGATCCAACCCACTCCCTGCTCACTGTGCTTGCAATAAAAACACTTCTTTGCATCTCAGCTGATGGTTCATTATTTAAGCTGGACCAACAGTTTAGTTTCAGCATTATAATTTAAGCTTGGAATAGGTAATGAGGTAAAATGTACCCTGCCTGTACTTAAGACCCAACACTTGGGAAATTCTGGTTTTGTTTTCAAAATCTTGGTTTTGTTTTGCTGGAGGGAAAGAGTCCCTGTTTTGTATGGTGATTAGAGCCCTTACTGTCAGACACCTGGTGTAATTCAGTTTGTTTGAAATCACTTTGACCTCAGGTTTTAACACTTAGGCTCGTGCTTTTGGATGCTTGTGCCTCTGATTTCTTTATTTTTTTTTCCATAAAGGAGTGTGACCATCTCCCCTTGGTGCTGTTACCACTCTGGGCAAATTTCAGGAGATGCAGTCACCTCTTCTTGAGTGGAGGCAGTGGTATTTCTTTGTGCCTAAAGAGGCTTTATTTCTGGTGGGCTGATCAGGCATCCTCCTTCCCTGTCTGGGGTAAGGTTAATGTAGTCAGATGCTCTTGGGTTAACTGCATCTCCTTGCTGGGCTACCTGTTGAGAAAAGAAACTTGGGTGATCAAAGCCAGATTGTTTCAAGAGGTTTCTGATCTCTGTAGCATCACTCAGTGGAAAATATTAGGAAAGTGGAAAGCAAAGCTTTAGAGACTCATCTGCAGCAGGAGAAACACCCTGTGTCCTTGAGGGGAATTTCTGCTGCAGTTAACCAAAGAAAATGAGTCTGTGGGCTCTGTTCAGTGGAGTTTTAATGAAGGTCAAAGCAGCATCCTTTCTGTGTCCCTGCTCTTCAATAGCTACATTTCTGCCCCCCTGTTCTGGATTCAAGGCAGTTATCTGCTAACTGTTTTGGTAACTATTGTCTGCAAAGTGACTTTATTTCTCAAACAATTATTCTTTACTGTTCCCAAATGCAAATTCCAACCACAGCACCGTTGGGGGGCTGAAAATGCCTTTCAAGACCGAGCTGCTTTTTACCTTTTCTTTTGTTAGTCACAGACCTGCAGGGTTTAGGATTGCACTGCCCACTGCTCAGTACTGCGTTAAAGGGGCTTGAAATCCAGGAGATAATGCAAAGACGCAGAGTAGAAAGACATGAACTGGTGGTGACTGTGGAGGGAGAGGAGCAGTGCTGGGCCACTAGAGGTCAGTCCTGGCCCTGTCGGTTGGCTGCTGACACGGGCTCAGCCTTCAGGGGAGAACGTGAATTTTTCTGCCAGAATGAAGGAATAAGACCAGCTCCGTGTGGTGCCCGTGTGCACACACACTGTTAGTGCTTTCTGAAGTTTGGCTTTGCTGGTGGTCAAAAAAACCTCTTTAAATGCCAACATCTGCGTAAGCTATTGATGTTTAAACAAACATTAAACGAGGTGTTTAAACACTGAAGTGTGCAATCCCTTCACAACTGTGCTATGTAATTAGGAAAAGTTGCTAAGTAAATAATTACGTGGTCCCGAACTTGGCATCCTCTTAGGACAGTTACGACATCTCTGGGCTCCTGAGTGCTGGAACACCATGGGTAGCTGCAACTGCTGCCTTAACACTTTCCCTTCTGTTACTGCGAGGTGTTTCAGGATGTTTTGGTCTTCCCAGAAACCTCAGAACTAAAACCTCTGGTTTTGCTTTGAGAAAACAGGAGTTTCCAGCCCTTGATCATGCAGCAAGAACTTTGAAAACATGCCTGAGTAGTCTAAAAGCTTGGATTCACAGGAAAAAAAAAAATCAAACTTAAGCCAATTTCAGGGTCTGACTCTTTTTTTTTTTTTTTTTTTTTTAATTAAGAAAGCTCTTGAGGGCTGGTTCTGCCAAGCAGCACTTCTGAGTAGCGTTGGAGTCCCTTACCAAAGTGCCTCTTCCTGCCTGTGGCTGAATAGAAGTGAAGCCTTTTGTAATTAGCTTTGTAGGTGACACTTGGTCCTTCTCACCTGTGCCTGCAGGTGTTCTGTGTTTATGTGCTGGCTGCACACACCTAGCTTTTCCTGCAGTTATGTATACTGTGTGGTTCCTCTGTACATCTTCCTCCTAGAAATGCCAATAAGGTTGTCCAAGCGGTAAAACTGTGCTGAGTGAGTCTGAAACTCCCCACTGCCTGTGGCAGCTTTGCCCCAGAGCTTGGGGTGGGGTTTTGGGAGCTCCCCTGGAAGGGCAGGGCGTGGCACGGAATGGCACAGCCTGCTGACAGCACCCCACAGCTCCTGCAGCTTCCCAGCGTGCTGGGCAGGGAGGGAAGGTCATCTCTCCGTGGTCTTGCTGTGAGTGTCTTTAGTGAATTGTTACAAAGTGGGCTGTCACTGCCCACTCTCTCTGCAACTGTCCCAAAGACACGGTCTCACCTTTCTTTTCCTCACGTTGTGAGGCTCAATCACGCTGCCAGCTGTTAAACAGAAGATTTTGGGAAGTGTGTTGTTTTTGGGGAGAGAAGAGTAAATGATTGCTAGTGAATTCCTTTCCTTACCCTAAAGCAGCTTTGGAAAGTCACTGTGACAGAAGCAGAGGGGCAGAGTGAGCCGTTCGCTGTGCTCTGGGTGATCGCTGTGCTCTTACTCCTTCCACCTCTGCACACTTTTACACACCCGCGAGCGAGCTGGCCCCGGGCGCTCCATCCCCGCATCCCGCGGGGCTCGGCGGAGCGGACTCGGCTCCCGGCGCTCCTGGGGGGGAGAGAAGCGGCCCCTTCCCAGGCTCTATTTTAAGCAGACATTTACTTTCCCAGCCTCTTCTCCGCCTGGATCCCTGCCCGGGGCGGGGGACGGCGGGAGGGGTGGGATGTGTCTCTCTCCCTCCTTCATAAAAGGGCCCCGAGGCGGGGGCCGGGCTCCGGGGGGTTATTTTTGGGAGCAGCTCCTGGGATCCGATGGCCTTGTTAGGGCAGCGCTGACCTTTCTCCCGGCGGGGGAGGAGAGCGGAGCGGGCCGGGGCGGGCGGCAGCGGCCGGGCGGGGGAGAGCGGCCGGCTCGGGACCCCCTTCCCTTCCTCCGCCGTGGGCTCGGGACCCCCTTTCCTTCCCCGTGGGGCTCGGACCCCTTTCCCTTCTCCGCCGCGGGGGCGGCTCCCGGGCGGCCCATGCCCGTGCCCGCCGGGCAGGTACCGGCGCGGAGCGGCTGCCCCGACGGGGGGGCTGGGGCTCGGCCCGCCCTCCTCCCCTCCCTCTCTCCCAATTTCTCCTTCCTCCCGTGCCCCAGCCCCTCGGCCGGGCCAGGCGAGGCAGGAGCGGCCGCTCCCGGTGCCCATCCCGCTCCCCCCGGGGATGCGGCAGCCCCGGAGCGCTGCCCCTGGGAACGCTGCCCGGCTGAGGGGCACCGGAGGGCACCATGAGCGGCGGCAGGTTCGATTTCGATGATGGAGGCGCCTACTGCGGGGGCTGGGAGGGGGGCAAAGCCCACGGGCATGGCATCTGCACCGGCCCCAAGGGCCAGGGCGAGTACTCGGGCTCCTGGAACTACGGCTTCGAAGTGGTGGGCATATACACGTGGCCCAGCGGCAACACCTACGAAGGCTACTGGTCCCAGGGCAAGAGGCACGGGCTGGGAATCGAGACCAAAGGACGGTGGGTTTACAGAGGCGAGTGGACCCACGGCTTTAAGGGACGGTACGGCGCGAGGCAGAGCATGAGCAGCGGAGCCAAATACGAGGGCACCTGGAACAACGGCCTGCAGGATGGCTACGGCACCGAGACCTACGCTGATGGAGGTGAGGGTGGCTCCGGAGGGGCTGGGAGGAGGGGATGAACACCAGGACAGCCGGCAGAGGTTGTGTGTTGTCCCTGCTGAAGAGGTGACCTAGTCCTGTCCCCACTGGTGAGATCCAGGCGGGCACAGTGGTCTGCCGTGAGCCATTGGGGTGCCTCAGTGAGGAGGCAGAGCTTGTGTGCGTGCCCTGATTTTCCCAGCTGGGCACAGCGTGCGTGGCTGGCTGTCCACAGACACGAGGGAGGAGCAGCAGGAGCACTGCCCCGCCATCCCTCCCGCGGGACCTGCTCTCAAGTGTCCATATCAACATTTAACACCAGCCAACTTGACTTGTGTAGTCTGTGGCTCCTGGTTCCCCAGGGACTGGGTATTCCTGGAGCGGCCCAGAAGCTCCTGGTTGGTGCACAACCACAGTGCACCAGGCAGTGAGTTGTGAATGTTCTCATGTCAGATATAAGCCACCCATGGCACCACAGCGCTCTTTGCCTGTGCATTGAACGCTGCCTGCACATCTCTGATGGGCTGCCTGGACATCTCCTTTGCCAAACCGTTTTGATTGAGTCCATCTAAGCTGTTTAGAATATGTGGTCACACCCCTTTCCCTAAAATAAATCCCTCTGATTACTTGGAAGCTTTCAACCCCTGCTACTACACAAATGCACCACGTAGTCAGATGTTTGTTGTGCTCTGTAAATGCTCGGTCTAATTGTGTTCTTGCATTAGTGGCGATTTTTGGGGTTAGAAACATCGCAAGAATTTCTGTGCGAGTAATTCTGTAGCTCTTCAACGCTGTAATGTTCCAGGCTGCCACATTTAGGATGGCTAAATAGGGAGGGTGATTTGAAAGAAATACTCTTCAAAATAGGGATCAGAATTGCATCTATATTTATCTAGGACAGGCATTGGAGTTAGTTTATAAAGCAAAATAGCTATAATAGTATAAATCTTCAGAATGAAAAGCATCACATTTGTAGGCATTAGAAAAATGGACTAATTCAAGACTGACTGTCAGGGCTATGCTTTTACACAAATATTTCTCAATCAGTTGCATGGGTTTGTGGCTAACTTTAAAAACTGGGAATACAGCCTTGAAGTTGACCCATTCTCTTTGTGCCATTGGTGGTTGTAGGTACAGACACGAACTGACACATCCCTCCAGCTCCCGAAATTTTCTCCCTTCTCTGTCCCGTGGCCATGGAATGGTTTAACAGGTGCAGCCTGCACGGCCACAGTGAGAGTTCAGTGCACAGAACCTTCCCATGAGGCCCTGAGAAGTGTAGGTGACATGTGAGGTGTGCTCTGATGAATGAGGAGCAGCGATCAGGTAACTGTCAGCAACAGCTGCTGTTGGGACGTTCATTCTGGAGGTGGCAAGGTCTGCTGTGAATTGGCAGAGCTGCTTCCTCACTGCTTCCTAAAATGCAGGTTCTTCTCAGGGTGAAAGGCTACTGGAGTTCCAGTTAATGGGGAAGAATTTTGAAAGGCAGAACTTGATGAAGGATATGAATTTGATTAGATCTTGGACTGGAAGCTTGGGAGAGAAGAGCAGGAAAGATGAGTCAATGTTTTCTCCTGTAAGGATATATAATATACTGCTTCTGTCAGCACAGCTCCCCGGGGTGTTGTCCCACACCCAAGAACGTGCCAGCTGCATGATCCCTGGTGCCACCCGAGGTTGGCACTGAGGTCCTGCTCCGTGAAGATGAGCCCTGCCAAAGCCACCCAGGGCAGTGCTGAGCTGGGCTCCCCAGGGCTCACGAGAGCTGTGCCCTGGCGCCCAGTGACTGCTCCTTGCCTTGGGCTGTTCCCTCCTGGCTGGTCCGAGCTGTTCATTCAGCACATGAGCTTCATTCAGCACATGGAGCTTCTCTGATGGCCCAGGAACACGCAGAAAGCTGCATCCAAAGCCAGGGTGGGGATCACCGTCCAGCATCACATCTGTAGGACAGGGTGACCTGCAGGACCTTTTCCTGTTCTGTCTCCTCACCTGCACACAGTAACCACCTGCCAGATCCAGATGTGGCCAGGCTGGTTAATGGGACCTGTTAATATCTGAATTTGAGGTTGCCAAGATAAGCATCTGGAAAGGCTTTGGAAATGGGCCATCCCTCGACGAGAGGACACCATTCCCAAGCCCCTTGGAAGCCAGCCACACGAGGAAGAGGGCTCTGGGAATATGCAGCTCTTGCCAGGCCAGCAGAAACTTTAGGTCATGGTTGGGCTGCCTGCAGATTTCAGGGAAATGTAGCTGATTCCAACGTTTTAAAATTAACTTTTTATATTTACATATATATATATATATAGACATGTATAAAAAATTTATACTTCAAAATACACTTATAGGGTTGTCTGTGTTTGGGTCTTGTGTCTGGCCAAGACTGGTGGCTAAATAAAGCCCATATCTGGAGTAAAGCTTTTTGAAATTCCATGTGATTTTTGGTGTCTAGTAAGAAGCAGAGTCATGGTGGAACTTAGCCCAGGCACTGTGTGGGTCATTCACTTTTTCTCTCTGCTACCAAAAGCCCATTTTTGTGAAAGCTGTGGGAGACTGATGGTTTAAAGGAGCCTTCTGTAACACCGAATGAAATCAGCCAAGGGGTTCAGAGCTCCTGGTGTGGCTGGGCAGAGGCAGTGACACTGTGATAGATCTCTGGGTATCCAGCTGGATATACTTGTGTCTGCTGCTGTCACCAGGGAAGGGGGCAGAGCCCCTCACAGGGGCAGGATGCTCCAGCTAAAGTGGATGGTGAGTGGGGGTTGTGAAAGGCACAGAAATAAGGGATTCATCATTTTGCACCATAAGCTATGAGTGAACACCTAGTTATTTGGTTTCCACTGGTGAGTTTGGTCCATGCTGTAAGGAAGGCCTCATTTTTTGGATACTTTTTTGTGTTTGACTCTGAGTCAAAACCCAGTGAAGTGTTACTGCAGAAAGCAATCTCGCTGCTGATGCTGAATCATGCTGCACACCCAGGATTCAGCCTTGTCTTTGCTGTACAAATAACTGCTTATGTATATCTGTGTGGGTCAAAAAACTCACTGGCAATCAAAGCAACCTGAAACCAACTGATTTTTGATGCTGCAGTTTGTTCTCCAGGGCATTAGGGAAAACAGAAGTGTCAATTAACCATGAGGAAACAATTAGACCAGTCAGTGATCACAAGACCACAGAAAAGGGGAAGAGAAGTGCAGAAGTGTGCTTTGCTGGGGAGATGAAATGGGTTGATATGGAGCAGCACAGCTCCTTGAGTGCCTGTGGCAGGGAAAACACAGTGGGAAGGGGCCTGGGCTGGGACAGAAGGAGCAGCATCCATGGGACTGCAGCCAGGAAGGGAGGAAGAGGCTCTGGAGCATCCCCTGCTTTGGTTGGGGATGGGCAGAGGTGATGAACTGCATCCCTGGGGGTCGCAGAGGTTTTTGTCATTACGACAAGTAAAAATGCAGGCAATAAAGGCTTAGGGCTGAGGAGTCAGGGGAGTGGGCTCTGTCCTGTTTTCATCCTAAATAAGAGATTTATTTGTTTCACATCCACTGCTTTTTAACGATTTTTTGCAGAACCTCAGGCACGTGTGAGCCCGTGCTGCCAACTCTGTGTCCCTCCTGTCCCCCCTCGCCCAGGCTGTTTTGACACTGGTGGCAGTGGCTCAGGGATGTGCAGCTCTGCTGCAGAGAGGTTTTGCACAGCCCCATTGTCTCTTGGACTGGCTGTACTGGGACGTGTTGGCTCCGCTCAAACCTTGCGTGCCCTGACACGGCCGCCGGCGCCTCCAGGCGCTCCCAGCGGCCTCTGGCTCCGCTCCAGGGGTGGTTTATGGCCCTACCCTGGCACCAAGCCTCAGGCAGACAGGGGATTGCAGCATGGCAGGGGCATGGCAGTGGTTGGGCAGCACCGTGTGGGTGCCCTCCCTTCAGCCAGGAGGGGTTGGCAGGTTTGGTCCCACCACGAGTCACAGGGATGGGGTTACTTGTGCTGAATGGGCTGAGATCAGGCAGCAGGAGCAGCCTGCAGAGCTGGTGTTGAATCCTGTGTTGAGGGCTGTCCCAAGAAGTGGCACCCCAGTCTCTGCTCTGTGAAGCCCCACTGTGCCATGTGGCTTTTCCCATCCGTGTGGCTCCAATGCTTTCAGGGGAACAGAGTGGGCCAGGGACTTGCTGGAGTGCAGTGGCTGCTCCAACCTGGCTCTTAAGGAGTAGCTGAGCCCCCCTAAACCTGCAAGACTTTTCCAGGGAATGAACGTGGCAGCACTATCAGCTGCAGCCTGATACGTGTGAAGTTGTTCCCATCCTAGGAGAAGGTCTCCAGTGTCACCCTGATCGTGTGTCAGCCCCGCTGCCTGTCTGGGCGGGTGGGATGGAGCACTGACCTCATGAGCTCTCACTGGGGGCACTATGGGGGTCTCTATAACTTCATTTTTCACCAGGGGCACTCATCACCATTTTATGGAGAGGGATTTAGGAGCGCGGTGAGGAACATGTTGAGGTGCCTGGGCATCTCCAGTGATGGTTCTTGGCTCCTGGATCATGCCCAAACCCACACTGCCCACCTTATTTTTCCCTAACAGAGCTTCAGGCTCCGCCAAGAAACTGGGCAAAGGCCCCCTGCTCTGGCAGATGGCTCCCCATGGCTGCCTGCTGTCTGCAGATGCTCTGCACCACCTGAACCCCTACTGTTTTTTGTAGGGGAGGCCAACTGTTTGCAGGGACCCCAAAATACCGTGTGCTGCGGGGTCGGCAGGGGCTGGTGGGGGGCGGCTCACTCGGGGCAGCAGCTGCTGCCTGCTTGGGCACTTCTTGTCTTTCCTGGCCCTCAGCACTGTAAGTTAACACTCCACAGGCGGGTCCAAAGAGGATTTTAACGAAACCTGAAGCTTGGGAGGAGAGATTATTCTGCAGAAGTGGCCTGGGAGACTGTAAAATATGCACTCCCACAATCTCCAAAGAAGGAACTGGATTTGCTCCTTGGGGAGCAGAGTTATCCCTGGGCTCAGCAACAGTGTCTGAGAGGGCAGATGAATGTCTTGAAGAGGGGTCACACCCTTCCATCTCATCCTGGTCCTGCCTGAGCCTCCCCAGGACTCTGGGAGTGCCTGCTCTCCCAAAATCATGTGCAGGCTGCCTGCCTCCTGCTCTGGTTGCAAATCCCACGCAGGAAGTGGCTTTGAGTTTACACCAGTGTTGCCTGATGCCCCAGCCCCTTTCCAGTGAGCTGTCACCTGCCAGCAGAGTCTCTCGGGTTAGTGTCCCCTGCTCTTTGCTCCCTGGGGGCTGATGCTTCCGCGTGTGGGCGAGCACCGGTGGGGTTGGTGCTCCCCTTCGAGGAACAGTGGGTACCTCTAGGTCAGCGCCGCCCCGCAGCCCCCTTCCTTCCTTTGCCGGCTCTCCCAGGGCCAATCCTCTCGCTGACCCCGTCCCTCTTCTCTCCCGCAGGCACGTACCAGGGCCAGTTCACCAACGGCATGCGGCACGGCTACGGCGTGCGCCAGAGCGTGCCCTACGGCATGGCCTCGGTGGTGCGCTCACCTCTGCGCACCTCGCTGTCCTCGCTGCGCAGCGAGCACAGCAACGGCACCCTGCCCCAGCAGGACTCCCCCGCCGCCCACCCCGAGAGCCTGCCCCTCTCGCCCACCATCACCCGCGGCGGCTTCGCCCTCAGCCTCTACGGCGACGCCGAGGCCGGCAAGCCCAAGAAAGGGGGGCTCTTCCGCAGGGGCTCCCTGCTGGGCAAGCTGAAGAAGTCCGAGTCCAAGTCGTCCCTGGCCAGCCAGAAGAGCCGCGTCAGCTTCCTCAAGAGCGAGAGCGGGATCAGCTCGGCTGCCAGCGACGCCACCTCCACCGTCAGCCTGGGCGAGGGCGCCGAGGGCGAGGAGTACACCCCCTTCGAGTCCGACATCGACGCCACCACCACCGAGACCTACATGGGCGAGTGGAAGAACGACAAGCGCGCCGGCTTCGGCGTCAGCGAGCGCTCCAGCGGGCTCAAGTACGAGGGCGAGTGGCTGGACAACCTGCGGCACGGCTACGGCTGCACCACGCTGCCCGACGGCAAGAAGGAGGAGGGCAAGTACCGCCACAACGTCCTCGTCAAGGGCATGAAGAAGCGAGTGATACCCCTCAAGAGCGCCAAGATCCGGCAGAAGGTGGACAGGAGCGTGGAGGGGGCTCAGAGGGCCGCGGCCATCGCCCGGCAGAAGTCGGAGATTGCGGCGTCCAGGTGGGTGCTTGGAGCTCCAGCGTGCAGGTCCCTGTGGTGGTGGTGGTGGTGGTGGTGGTGGTCCAGTGGCACCAGCCCTGGTGCCATCCCAGCAGGATGGGGAGCGTGAGCTGGAGGGATGGGGAGCACCCTGGTGCTGTGCCAGGCTGCTGGAGCTGCTGGGCACTGATGGGGCAGCATGAGAACCAGTGGGGTTTGAGGGTGGTAAACCCAACAGGCCCCACAAGCAGCAGGTGAGACGTGTCCAGACAAACTGGGGCTGCAGCAGAGCACGGCTCAGCCCCTGGTGTGGCTCTGTTTGGGAGCCTGTGGGATGCATTAGGGTTGTCACTTAGTTTTTAGCAGCTCAGTGTAATTACTCCAATGTCCCTCATGGGACAGAGGAGGGAGGAAATAAGAGTGGCTCCAGGGTCTGCCTGGCGAGGGCAGGGGAAGTTCTCCATCTCCAGCTTGCATCCCTGCCTATGTCCAAGCTGTGTTGGCAGCATGCTCCTCCTCCTGCAGGATTCCTGCAAGTCTCAGAGCCCACCTGGCAAAGACCAGAGATCTGTGAGGCAGGATTGCAGCCTTCCTCTTCTTTTCCTTGGGTAAATGGGGTTGTAACACATCTTGGGGTTTCACCTGGCCTCTCCATCAAAACCTCCCCACTTAGAGGCTTTGCTCAGCTGCTGGGTGATGGCTGCATCTCCACATCTGTCCTGTCTCACTCCTTTTAATTCCTGTTTAATTATCAGTGACTTCATTAGCAAGCAGAGAGGGGAAATAAGCAAGGAGGACACCTCTTCCCAAACCCCATCCCTCCCCTCCAAGGAACCCCAGCTTTACTCTCCCAGCCGCCGTTTCTGCTCCGGAGCTTTGTGGGGAGCGTGGCTGAGATTTTGTAGCAAAACACAGTTGCCTCAAAGAGTGGTGGAGGAAACCCAGCAGGACTGCAAGTGAAGCTCCGTGCAGGGCTAGCTAGGATAAAAATAACAGGCTGGGGCAGCGTGGGGCCCTCTGGATCCTCCTGGCAGGGCGAGCTCAGCCCAACACCAGCCCCGCCGTGCCCGGGAAAAGCGTGTGGATGCGGCGTGGATGAGGGGGCTGGAGCTGCAAACGCCGCTCCCCGAGAGCTTGGCCGGTTTACACAAACCTCTTTTTATTATACACTATTTACACTTTGGATCAAAAGCGGCTCTGCAGTGTTTTCCATCAGGGGCTGGAATGCGCCCGCTGCCCTGGCGGGGACTGCATCCCTCCCCAGTGCAGCCGGGGAATGATTTCCTATTAAGGAAACCTTGGAGCTGGAGGAAATAAGATGTGAGAGCCGGTTTCCTCCCGGGAGTCCTGGGCTATCAGACCCTGCAGTGGTGTGGCTGCTGGGGCAGGGAAGGGGTTGCTGTGCTCCCTGCCACTGTGGAACCCCAGTGCCGTTCCTGTGGCACTGCTTGCAGCTGAGGTGGAGCCACTGAGAGAGAGTTCAGGCTCCTCCATCCTCTAAACTATTACTCAGTGTTTATTTCTGGTGTATGTTGCTCTGGGCAGAGCCACTCTCTCTACTTGATGTCTCTTGTAAATCTGACTTGTGCTCTCCTCGCTCCCCCCTTCAGCTCAGTTTTGGGGTTGAGAGTAAATACAGAGAATTTTGTCCCGAGAGGGTCCTTAGGTTGTCCCCAGCTCTGCCCCTGACTTTTGCTTTGGCCTTGAACCTTTCCTCAGTTTCCACACTTAGGACAGAGTAATTGCAGAGAGATTGTGAAAATGCATTATTGCAGTTTATAGAGGGGCTGCACTATCATTAGCATCGCCCGAGCTCGTCACTGCGAGGTGGGGTTTTCTGGATGGAGCATTTATGTTTCTCCTCTGATTGCAGTGTGAACTTTACCCACAAAAATGCCTTTGAGGCTACACTAATCCCTTTCTGGGGGAAGACGTGGCCTATCTGTAGGTTAGATTGTAAGTAAGAATTAACTGGAAGGACACAGCAGGCTGTGCAGATTCCCAGCTCTCCCTGCATGCCTGTGCCATTGTACGTGAATGTTTGAGTTTCATTTGCTTCTGACACTCAGGGGAGCCCCTCGCAATAAAGAGCTAAAGTAACATCCAGCCTTCTGTTGTCTGGGGGTGAAATGTCAGGAGAAGACCAGATTTCTCCCTTTTGCACCATAAAAGGCTCTTTAGGGATAGAAATCCTGGGGAAAACAAGCCCAGGGGCTGGAAGCTGCCTCGGCCAGTTGCACCGCAGGAATGCCGGGCACGTGCCCAGCTCTGGGGGTGCTCTGTGGGCAGCAGAGATGGGAGCCCTGCCTGGGGCTGCCAGGGATGATGGTCAGTGTGGTCACCGAGCCCTCCCTGTCCCATTTCCACTCCAGGAGTGTCTGAGGTGCCAGGCTGCTTCACAGCTCCAGTCCCACCTGCCAGCTGGTGCCGTGGGCAGTGCCAGCTACTGCCTGCCCTGCTGCCTGTCCTGCCCCAGCAGCGCTGTCCTGGCCTCCTCAGCTCCCTCCTGAACCCCCTGGGTCAGCAATCCAGCTGCTTTCCCCATTGTGCAAGAAGCTGAGGACATCATCTCACGGTCAGCGGAGGGAACAGTGATTTTTTTTTTTTTCCCCATTCCGTTTTTCATTCTTTCAAAATGTGAAAAATCATCTGGCATAGGGTCCTGCTGTCCTGAGCAGCCCACCCAGGTCAGCCAGCTCTACCCCAGGCAAGATCTCTTGGTGCTGCTCAGATACAAACCCTGGGCATGTCTATTGGCAGCACTGGGGATCAGGTACTGGGATGGAGCTGATGGAAGCTGAGGTATGAATCCTTGCCCAGGCTGCTGGCACTTTGGGAAAGAGCCATCTTGGAGGGCAGCCTCTGTGGCAGGCAGCAGACGTGGCTTTCTCCCTGCCCAGGGGTAACACGAATGGACGTTGGGGTTTTAGCACAGTTTTAGTGTTCATTAGCTCTGCTGGTGCTCCAGGGCTTGTCCTGCTGTGATCCCAAGGGATTCCCATCAGAACTGGAGCACAGCTGTTCCCGAGGTGCAGGGTGAAGGTACCTGCTGTGTCTCTCCACTCTCTGCCCTGCTAATTGAAAAAGTGTTGGGGTGGATGGGAAATGCAGTGAGGGCCTGGGATCACAGCCAAGGAGACAAACTGGCTGGAGGACAGTGAGGAGGGGGCAGCCACCACCCAGCTGTGAGTGAGGCAGTTCAGAGCCATCCTGAGGTGTGCAGTGGGAGTTTTCTGGGTGCCTGGGGAGCAGTGTGTGCTTGCCTATCCCATGGGGAGGATGGTCCCACTGAGTACAGGGAGAAGGAGCATGAAAATGGTCAGTTTTCATCTCTTCACAACAAAATAGAATAAAATAAAGCAAGAGTAAGGGCAGGACTTGGCTGTAGGGGCAATCTTTGATTTTTTGAAAACTGTGTGCTCACTAGCTGGGCAGCTCATACAGGGGTTTTCCTTCTCAGTGGTGCTTTTGGGGGACAAACCGAGTGTAAATACTGCAAATCCCACCTCTGTCCCACTGCAGCAGTGTCTGACGTGCTCTGCCTCTGCATGTGGTTGTGCTTCCCGGTGACTTGGACTGAAGTCAATGGAGGGACTTGGCCATGTGTCCTGCAGGGCACGGGCCTGGCCAAGCTCTGAGATCCTCTGACGGATGCACGTCCTGGCAATAACACCTCAGATGTATCTGCCAGGTGTCACAGGATCAATAGGAAGGCAAGATAGTAGAGGCAATAATGGCTGCTGTGCTTCACCCTTTTGTCATCGGGTGCTGGCTCTGAAGCCCCTGAGGGGTTTATGCCTGGAGAGTACAACTACAAATGAATACATCTTGGATTAGTTTTTGTTTTAATGTAATATCTGTAGATACCTGTAAGAATTTCTGGACTGCACTCTGAAGCGTGGGGCGCCAATTCCTGATTAAGTAGGGTTTGCTCACCCTGGTGAGCCTGGGCTGTGTGGAAGCACCGCAGGGCTCCCGGTGTCAGGAATCACATCGGCTTCCCCGGCAGTGACACACGGGCATCGTTCACAGCGTGAGCTGCTGCCTGGCTTTGAAGCCTAAGTCGGTTTTCTGTCTGTCCCCATGGCTTTGGGGCACATCTCAGCTCTCCCTTCAAATAACAGGAGTGCTCCACGGCTCCCGTATCGCTTTCCAAAGCTCCCCTGCCCGGCCGCATTCCCGGCGGCGCTGCCGCCGTCTCCCTGTGCTCAGCATTTCCAGGCTGCGTGGCCGGGCAGCAGCGAGCGTCTCCTTGGGGAACGCGGGTGTGTGGTGCAAATGACGTCCTGAAATCGCTGCAGTCAGCACAGGCTCCTGACTAAATAAGGGCAGGCAGAGCAGGGCTTTATCGGCCCAGCGCGACAGCTGAGCCGAGGCCGTGGCAGCCCACGCCGCTGGGGTTCGGCCTCACAGCCCCACCAAGAAGGTGCTTTATTTGGCACAGCGAGCTCCTGCCCGTGGCCCCACTGCTCTCGGGGGTTCAAGGTGCCAAGGGATGTCTTCAAGAGGCACCTTTTGGTGAGGCACAGTGCGTGTCCAGCGCAGAGCTGGGCTGGACTGGTGGCCGCGGTGGCCTCGGCCCTCCTAGGGCTGACAGCACAGCTCAGCTTCCCCGAGGCCGGATTTCACATCTGGGATTTTGGGTCTGTTGAATCAGGCTTGGGGTTTGCTCTGAAAGTTTTAGGAGTTTGGTTTTTTTTAAAGCATGCATTGATTTCTGCTTTCCTGAGGCTTTTGGCCAGTGGCACAGGCATTAGACACTTCAGGAGTTCAGCACATTCCCAGACCCCCAGAGGGCAGGATGCTCATGGCCACCATGGAAGGGCAGGCAGCAGCAGTGGTTTGAGGCAGCCCCTGCCAGGAGGGCTCACTGCTCCTCTGCTCTCAAGGTGTCTTTGCTCTGGGACTCCACACCTCTGTGTGATGGATGGACATGTAACGAGGAGGCAGCAGCAGGCAGGAGATGGGCAGAGCTTGTCCTGACCCCAGGTGGGTTGTTGGCTGTGATTTGTCTCCAAGTG